TCTTGTGGTCTTGGAATTATGAGCTGGAAGTCACCGGTGTGGAGCAAGAGCTTGAGCATGTTCGGGCAGAGCGCACCCATGACGCACTGCCTTGGCTGGCTGTCTGCAGTAGCAACCACTTGCAAGAGGCCGCGACTCTCCCAGACATTTTGCGTTCATACTTCCACGGCTCCGTCATTCCCAGCAATGCTCACGCCATTCTCCTCCACAGCGTGGCTTTTGAATGGAACCATCCGGACTCTGGCATCATGTTGCCACAGTGCGCCAAGGCTGTGATTTTTGCTGAGGCGGCCAAAGCGGTCCACGCGGGCCCTTGACGCCCGAAAATATTTGCAAAGAGTTGGGTCTTCTACACGGCTTTGCTGCGCGTCGGCTCTTTGAAGGGATGACCGCTGCAGGTAGCCTCGAGTGGGAAAGGGCGCAGTTTCAGTACCTCAAGCATGTTCGCAAAAGGCCGGGGGGCTGCAAGGGCAGCCAGGTCACGCCCACGCGTGTGTGGGACTCGTCGAAAGTTGCTGGCGGCCACAATTTTGCCAAAGCAGTGCAGCTGCAGCAGAAGCCGCTGATTGTGCGCGGCCTGATGGCTGCCCATGAGGCGAAACGATGGTGCGTCAGCCAAGGCCTTCAAATAGAAGCGATGGCAACCAACTTCAACTTGGAGCCCGCCTGGTTCCAGCTGCTTTCACTTTCCATCCTTGGCTGCCATGACCGCAACTAATGCTTCGAGGAAAGACGCAAATCTATACTCGCAAGGAGACAATGAGACAAGGCAATGCTCTAGACAAGCAACATTGCCCGTGCTTTCAGCTTCCCGTCGGACCCCATGAAGTGGTATAGGCACTGCCCTTGAACGCAAGAATGGACCAAGTGACCATCTTTGGGCAAGCCATAGCCCACAGCGAGGCGCTCGCACGCTGAGGCCATCTCAATGGGCGACACTGCGCGCAAAGAGGTCTCTCGTTGGCTAGACAAGGCTTCCACGCTGGTGTAGAAGGCATCTGCAGGTCGTACACCTTGCAGGCCCAAGCTGCAAAGAACGCCTCTTGGCAGTCTGCAGAGCAAGTGCGCAAAAACTCCCGGCATGCCTCGACTGCCCCAGTAACTTCTGGCAAGAGCTTTTGCGCAAGTGCTTGCAAGCGATAGCGCCCAGGGCAGGGTCAGTTGAAGACCCCACACGCTGCCTCACGCTGGCCTTCTCCCTCTTTCTCCAGCCTGGCAAAGACTGAGCCCAGCTGGCTCGACCCTTCATCAGGCGGAAGGTGTTCGGAGGCCCTGGGAGGTGTGGCTTCCTGCCGCGGAGCGTTCATGACGGCACAGGGCTGGCAGGCTCCTCTAATATCAAAAAAAAAGGCTGGGCTGCGGAAGACACATGCATGGATTGCTGTTGTTGCATGTCAAGATGCGCAGCAACGCATCCCTGGCACCATGTCCAAACCCTGGAACCGCACACTCAGTCCAGCAAGGGCCTTGTTTTCATATTCTGGAGTTTGTATTTGCCACTGAGAGTCACAGGCTGCCTTCAAGGTACATGGCACAAATGCTCCTCATTGCCGGAGTGGTCGCGTCAACGCGCTGCATGCACGTCCCGGCATCATTCCCTGCCGGCAAAACATTCGCGAGCCTTTCACCTGCGCTCCGGAAAGCCGCCAAGGCTGCGGCGCCTCCGTGGAAATCGGCACCAGCCCCTGCACACGCACGAGCCTGCACCTCTCGAAGCCATCCTTCGACGCTGACCAAGTACACTGTTTCCTCGCTTCCCTGAGGCCGAGCCAGGTTTCTTGACATCCTTTACGTGTTGCGCCAGAACCTGTCAACCCCGACGGTCCCAAGGGAGATATTATAGCATTGGCTCACGCACCATCGCTTGGCCTCATGGGCAGCCATCAGGCCGCGCACAATCAGCGGCTTTTGCTGCAGCTGCGCTGCTTTGGCAAAATTGTGGCCGCCAGCAACTTTCGAGGAGTCCCACACACGTGTGGGCGTGACCTGGCTGCCCTTCAAGCCCCCCCAGCCTTTTGCGAACACGCTTGAGGTACTGAAACTGCGCCCTTTCCCACTCGAGGCTACCTGCAGCGGTCATCCCTTCAAAGAGCCGACGCGCAGCAAAGCCGTGTAGAAGACCCAACTCTTTGCAAATATTTTCGGGCGTCAAGGGCCCGCGTGGACCGCTTTGGCCGCCTCAGCAAAAATCACAGCCTTGGCGCACTGTGGCAACATGATGCCAGAGTCCGGATGGTTCCATTCAAAAGCCACGCTGCGGAGGAGAATGGCGTGAGCATTGCTGGGAATGACGGAGCCGTGGAAGTATGAACGCAAAATGTCTGGGAGATTCGCGGCCTCTTGCAAGTGGTTGCTACTGCAGACAGCCAGCCGAGGCAGTGCGTCATGGGTGCGCTCTGCCCGAACATGCTTAAGCTCTTGCTCCACACCGGTGACTTCCAGCTCGTAATTCCAAGACCGCAAGGGCTTCTGCAGGCATCTCAGAAGAAAGCGCTGCCAA